CATCGTGTCGTGACACGAATAGTTCAATAGTTGCAAAAATGCGTAATCAAATAGAAATTTACATTTGAGTATTAGTGCTAAATCAGTAAAGATAAGATACGAATTTTCTATTTGCCACGCAAACAAAAACCAAATTTATTATTTTCTTTGTCGATTCGAATCGCAAATATAATAATTATACGAAAATGATTGTTATATACGTTTGTGCCTAAGCATATTGATTTAAGTATGCACGTGTCTTGTTTTTAAATAGATATGTAGACATATGTATGTATGTATGTATGTAATTATACGGTCGAAACAAATGATAAATTTGTTTACCTCACCATGTCCTACCCGAAGCCGATGTGCTATCTCTAGTTCTAGATTTCGGATTCGTGTTTGCATTCGTCTTTTACAAGGCTGCACTTGCATTGGCTGAGCTTTCTGTCACACACACGCACACAAACACTCATGCGAACGCCTTAGCTACATATGCATGCATGTGTGTGTGTGCATGTTGGTGTTGTATTCGAAACCAGTTTTTTGTTTTCCTTTCTGCTTTATTTCTATTTGTTGCTGTTGTTGTCCGAGTCCTTGGCTTGGTAGGGGGCGTGCGAGTGCGTATTTAGCGATTTGCTCTACAAATATCTCCCACATGTATGTAGACACGTTTTTAGCTACATAACATAAATATACATATATAGTATGTATGTACAATGTATATGCATACATATGTATATAAATAACTCTAACATAGTATGTATGTATGCATGAATGATATTTACGATTTTCCCAATTTTATAAACAAAAGCGATTCAAACCGTTTACTTATTATTAATGCCCAAATGTTTTCACTGCCGCTGCTTGCGTCGCTGACGGCGTCGCTGCTTACAGTGCTGTTCGTGCCTCTGCTCATGGCTCTCTTTAAATCTCAAAATCCGTCTCTACCTTTGAATTTATTTTTATGTCATCTTCGGCTCCTGTTTTTACGTTTGCCTTTGCATTTGTCTTTGCTTTTGTCTCTGCCTTTGGCTTTCTTTGTACTTCTAAATCAGCCTCAACGTTGGCCTATGTTTTATCCTTGTTGGGATGCTGCTTCTGCCTCTGCCCACGTCGCAGTCTCTGTCTCTGTCGCTGCTTTTGCTTATAGTTTTCAATAAAAAAGTTTGCTCGTTTGTTTATTTTTGTTTGATTGTTTTTATTCGCTCGCTTTTGTTATTGATTAAATTCTTGCCCCCATCCGCCGCCTTCGCTTCCGCCCCCACCCCAAAGCTCATGCCAAGGCAGCCCGAAGCTCAGTGCCCGCCAATTAAGGCACCCACATCTATACACATGACTTACATAAATATATATAGATGTATATGTCGTATATATGTATGTATGTCTATATCGGGTGAATCGGACAAATCGGGCAGTCGGGCTGGCACCTAGATGAACGGTTTGATGACTGTGTTTTGGGCTCTCTGACTCGTTTGATTGTGGCTGCTTAAATTGATGTAGAAACAGGTAAACATGCCTAGCTGAGCGGCTAGCAGGTACCCTGTATTCAATGTTGAGCTCAATCAATAAAATTCGACGCTTGCCAATATAAATATACTTATCTATAATGGGAAGCAACTTGATTGTTTATCGCTAACTATTTGTGTATGCATATATGTATGTATTTGCTTACTGTCGATCCCATGTAATCCTTATGAATATACATAAGTAAGAGTAGAATATACCCCATATGCATACACACATGTAATGGGTACACGAAATCAAAAATCACATAGCTCGCATACAGGCAGTCCAACTGACTGTCTCATTGTCTGTCTGTCTGTCAGTCTGTCTGTCTCTCTGTGTGTCTGTCTGGCAGCTCTTGTGTAAATCATTTACCATAATAAATGACTACAATGCATAGCGAAAGGCCATTACTGCATGTGAACGTATTGCTATATGAGTTGTCTGAATATTTCATGGCAGATCAACTATAAAACAAATACTATGGCCAAAGTCTGCTTGATTAGCGGATACCCCTTTAGTATTAAAGATTGATATGTGTGCACATACTGGATATACATGGTCGTTACACCTGCTGCATTGGTTCTGTCTGATTGGCTATTTGGATTTCCACTTTATAGGCTTTTACATATATGTGTTTAAGTAAATTTAGAAGATATTTGACTGATTGGTTTCTAATTTTTCTTTGCAGGATGAAACCGGCGCATATTTGATAGACAGAGATCCAAAGTATTTTGCGCCTGTGCTCAATTATTTACGCCATGGCAAACTCGTTTTGGACGGCGTCTCGGAGGAGGGTGTGCTGGAAGAGGCTGAGTTCTACAACGTGACGCAGCTGATTGCACTGCTGAAGGAGTGCATCAGCCATAGAGATCAGGTGAGTGCCTGTCTGTCTATCCTCCTCTCACTTCAAGTCAAATTCGCATTAATAATTTTTCGTTGCTTCAATTGCAGCGACCACATGCGGATAAGAAGCGCGTCTATCGCGTGCTGCAATGCCGCGAACAAGAATTAACACAGGTAATATCTTTGTCTTTCGGCCGTTGGACGGGTGTATAAAGTCTTTCTGTTCCTTCGTTATTGCAGATGATCTCCACGCTTTCGGATGGCTGGCGGTTTGAGCAGCTGATAAGCGTTGGCATACAATGCTCCAACTATGGGCCATTCGAAAATAATGAGTTCCTTTGCGTCGTCTCCAAAGAATGCGGCTCGACAGCAGGACGGGAATTGGAGCTGAATGATCGCGCCAAGGTTCTGCAGCAGAAGGGTTCGCGAATGTAAGCAAATGCAAAACAATTAGCGAGAGAAACCGAGAGATAGGCAGATAAACTATAGTTGCATATTTATGAGTACAGCTATAACTGAGTAGATCAATCAGGCCATTAGCTATGACACTGCTTAATTAACCATTTACCAGCTGATTAGCTGATAATGCTTACTATCTATTCGGGATTACCCGTAGATATTTGCACGGCGAAAAGCTTGATATGAATCAAAAGCAATTGAACAACTGATTAGCTAAATAGCTGATTAGGTGATTAGATTGGTATGCATCAACAGCAGCCCCACCGATTCTTGTAATGTTGTAATTCTCACATAAAAACTTACTCTACTTGCTCTGGGTTGATGTATGTAAGTGTCGTGTATGTGTATACGTATGTGTATGTCAGTAGAGTCAGCTTTGCCTTGTCTATGCATTACATTATATTGAAGTATTCAAATTCACAATGTGTTCGATTGAACGGGTAATCAAGAACAGCCACTGTTCAGTAATCTGTGAACCAAAAACTCAGTCGTCCATGAACGACTGATGATGATCTATACATAAGCTCTGTTATTCGCTTGTCTGATATGCTTCATTTCGATTTAATTGAAATGGGAGACAGTGACAGTTCTGACAACTGAACTGGTATAACAGTTGAAAAGTGTAAATATGAGCGAATTTACGAATTGACGACATGAAACTGGTTGAGCGTATCGAGCAGTTGAACAACTTCAGAATACTGAATAGAATTTGTTCCTCAAATGTAGGTTGTTAATCGAGTGGTACTAGCTCCAGAGAACTGATTCATCAATTCGAACCAACATTTGTCATTCAGTAAATATAACTTTTACTTGCAACTCAACACAGAAACAGAACACACACACTCATTCACGCACACATACACACAGAGGTTATTCAGAATAGATAGATATTTAGGTGACATGTTTAACTATATCTATAAAATGATTTCTTTATTACATCCAATTTATTGTTTGGCCACCAAATAATTGATGTTAACCTCTTTTTCTCTCTTTCTCTCTTTCTTCCACACGCTTTTTGTTTGCCTTCTCTCTCTGTTTAATTGCAGTCTTGGAATTTAAAGTGCTTATAGAGCATAGCATAGAGTGCGCATACCATCCAAAATATAACAAAATGTAACTCCCATCAGCAAACACACCAAGCCTAATTAATACAACAAAGACAAGCCACAAACATCATGAGCAACAACAATAACAGCAGTAGCAGCAGCAATAACAACCAAAATGTACTACGAATAAAACAAATGCAACACAATTTATGAAAGAGCCTACAGCAAAATAATTTAGCGAGATCCTTTCTGGCGGCAATGGGAGAAATAAAGTCAAAGTCATGCAGTCAATCAGTCGATCATTAACTACAATATATCATTCAATTCCAAGTCTTATTTGAGAGCAGTTGGATATGCACATCTAAATACAGTTCAATCACTTCTCAATCTTTTAATTTATCAGCCGAAACTAAGCGAAAATTCTCTTTGGCGCCATCAATTGCAGAGATAAGAAGCTAACAATCATTCAATTATTACTCAACAAAACCTTCAGTTTTTCAATCAGCCATTCACATCAATCAATTAAACTGTCCGCACACAAATGCAAATTCTCCTTGAGAGCTATTGGATAAACAGACAGAGTCAAGATAAATCCGCTTCAGCGTTACATCATGAATCACCCGTTACTTGACTCTTATGTAAGTCATTTTCATTTTTACGAAATTCTTTCAAACAACAAAATTTGTATTTGTTTTAATGATTGATTTATTTAATTCATTTATGCGCAATTCTGATTGAACTTTTTATTGTGAATTTTCTTTGTGACTGAAGTAATCGAAAGAAATTTTAGAAGAAAATTGATGGAACATCCCGGTCACAGTTCAAGCTCGAGCTGGTGCACACACATCATCAAGCTCTCTGCAATGGAAATTCACACACTAACACATACCGACACTAACACACTCATCGATGACTTTAATTTTGGCTTCCCTTTTGCCTTCCGCATTTGAAGAGTGCCTAAAATACGCTTAAAACCTGGAATCGAAAACTAAAACAAAGTTGATGAAGCTAAGCACAAATAACAGAAAAAACACCGCCAACATTTGCTTAAATTTAATGCATAAGTGAATAACAATATCTAGATAATATACATGTATATATATATATATACATATATATGTGGATCGGATGCAGGATCCAAAGAAACTAGAAACTAGTGAGCCACACAGCTGATGGATGGAAACACTTGAACATGAACACCAAATTCTCAAAATGCAATGTTATGTATGTATATATATGCAATAGAGGACTATACACACCATATATATGTATATATATACCTGTATGTATATATGTATATATATATACCAGTGCATCATCATCATCATTAGGAAATTTTGTATCTTCAAACTCAAAATTAGTTTACAATCAAAACTATGTAAGAACATTGCAGTCGACTGCATATCGCCCGTTCATGCTACAGAAGACCTATGAAATATATTGTGGGACTAGTAACACCAGCCTTAGATCTGTGGAAGCACAACAGAAGTCGCAACAGAAAAGCTTAAAGATCTCCATAGAAAGGTTTTTCGCTGACTTGTCACGTGCAAATCATACACATTAAGCTGTGGAAACGAGTATATCTATATATATATATTATAGACTTAGGCCTCAAAACAGCCAGATTCTTTTTCCAATTTTTGAACACTTGGGACAAGTTCCAGTTCATACTAGTTCACACAGCTCTTCTCTTTTTGAAATTTCAATGGGCATCCAGCCAAATTATTCTCTAATTCGAGTCCGATATTTTTCGATTTCACCGCATTCTGTTCAGTATAAACAATCTATTGGAGTTAGAAATTGATATCTATATATGTACTCGTGTAAACCTTATCTATAATCTGTGAGGCCCCTGAAATGGGTGAATTTGTTAAAGAAGCTTAGCACAAGTTTTCAATAGAGAAAGTAGTTGATATATACATAAATATATATTTGTATATATGCCTTGAAGGCACAGCAAATTGATATTCTGTTCATACTTTTATTTTATTTTATTTTTTTTGTTTTGTAATTTGAACGAGTATTGAGCAGTTGTTTACGCCCGACTGCAATGTTCTAAATTGCTTTCAAAGTATACATTTGACTATATATATATATATTTGTATGTATATATAGTTAAGCGTTCAATATGTTTAACTTTCTTTGAAACTCAGTTCGAGCTGCATTTACATATATATATATACATATATGCTAGATCGAAATGCAGTCCCCATTAACAACCTAGAGCTTTATTTAACTAGCAAAAAAACATGAAAAATAGGAAAAGGAAAAACCATTTTAATCACGACTGAATTTATGTGAATTTGCACTAAAAAAAAATAAGAAAAAAAAAAAACAAATGAAAAACAAACTAAAATAAATAATAATAACATGATATATATATATATATGTATGTATATATATTTGAATAATTAATAATTTTTAATAAAGAAGAAATGGGTAAAACATAATTTCGAAATGTCGAAAATCCAATTTTTTGTAAACATTTTGAATTATTATTAATATATATGTATATGATAGTTATAACCGGACTCGAGAAAAGCTTGGTGACACATATACATATGTATATGCATATGTATATATATAAATGTTTGGAAAATCAAAAATATATAGAGTTTGAAATGAAGTTAATTCAACAAACAATGCAATATGAGCGACATGTTCTTAGCTATATATGAATGTATTACACAAGCACACAGACATACACACGATGACACGTACATACACACACACACACCCACACACACACAGACAAAATGCATATGCTGGACTGTTCTCTCATTTTCATATGCATAGATTGACTACTCATTCAGACACACACACACACATATACTTGCACATACATATTTACATATGTAAATATATGTGTATGGCCAGGCATTGGCAAGCTTCACTGTACTTGCAACAACAACTATAACAATAACAACTTATATAATCATCAAGAGACGTCTATATGTAGCCATTGGCAGCAAATAAAAAAAAAAGAAACAACAAATATTTCAATAAATTAAATTTTTCTACAAAACTTAAAAAATTGTGTTTGTTTTTAACTATTTTAAGTCATTTTATCATTTAAGTATTACTCTAAAAAGTGTATTTAGAAAAACATTTAGTATGTTTAGGTTCGCTGAGAGTAAAAACTGAAGCTAAAGTTCCTTTAGCCACTCGTACAGCTCTGAAGCTTATAGCAGAACTTTGTTGTGAGTTGCGGTAAATCCTAGTCGAGTTATATCACAGAGGGCCTAGTCCTTGCTAAAGTTTGCGCTAAGCTTAATAAAAGCTTAAGGCGGGACCTTGGCGTAGGCTGTAGCTTTGCGCTTTAAGCTTTTCGAAACTTGTTCTCTAGCTTCAACCCAGTAGAGCTTCTAGTCAATAATACATCCAATTGCCCGCTGAAAGTTTAAGCGATTCATGAATTCTGATGCAAGTTGATATAGTAATATGATGTGTGTGTGTATATTGAGCTGTATTGAGTCGATAACAAAGCCCTATTCACAGGCTTATATTATTATTTATACTTTATTATAGTAATGCTTATGCTTAATCCAGAGAGATTGAATCCACTTACAAAGTACATCATTAGTCAAGCTGGTCAGATGGGTCGATCTTAATACAAAATACAAAATAAGTAACAACAAATTCTTCTAAAAAATATATAGCATTATCTTTGGGGAAAAATCCATTGTATGCATGTACATATATCCGTAAATAAATTCAATGAGAGCTAACGAATTCCATTAGAATCGTATTAAATGTTAAGTTAAGGCTGCCAAAGTTCAATTTCCTTCTGTATTTTCTTATTTACCAGCAGCAGAGCTTGTGTGGGGAGGACAGGAGCGGTAGGCGTGGCATATTGATTAGAATTTGAGCCATGGCAAACTTATGCAAAGTAAAAAGAGATGTTCAGAGTTGCGTGAGCTTCAAAGCTCATAAGATATTCATTGGCAAATGCACAAACAGTAGCGGCGTGTGTGTGTGTGTGTGTGTGCGTGTGTGACTCCAGATGGAATTGAGCGGACTTTAAGATTTGCAGCTACGCTAATAGTTCAATTAGTTGAGCTAGTTCAAATTTCTAAGCTAGATGCAGTCTATAAACAAGCTCAAATTGATAATTGAAAAGGAGATAAAGTTTGCATTACCCTAAATAGAGAGATAGAGAGAGAGAGAGAGAGACGGAGTAGTGCGTTGATCGCATTGAACTAGCTCAGTTGCTAATCTAACTGACTCGTTCAATTGAACTGTTTCGGAACGAAGCTAGCTTTCTAACTCTTCAGCATTCACTCACGCTCTATCGCGCGCCTCCCACGTTGTCAACTGAGGCTGGGGCGTAGGCATAGGCATAGACATAGGCATCGACAGTGGCAGAGGCAGAGGCAGAGGCGGAGGCAGCGACGTGTTTAGCACGTAGCACGCTGTTTGAAATGTTATTTCATACGCGATATTTGGCTGGCGGCAAATTCATGCACGCATATATCGATATGGCCACATTAAAATTTAACTGCGCCAACAACCCCAGCATCATGCTGCATGCTATATGCTACATGCTACATGCTACATTCTACATTCTACATGCTACTTGCGACATGCCCCACGCTACTGGCCACATGCCACCAGCCCAATTGCTCTGCTGCGCAACCACTAAAAACCGAGAGACCGAGCCGAGGCCATCGCCCAAAACACGTGCCCATTTATATTTATTCTAAACAAAGGAATAAAAACTTCTGTCGCCGCGCACATGAGGCCCGCGAACTGTTTTCTCTACGTGTGCGTGTGTGTGTGTGTGTGCGCGCGGCCAAACGACAGCAAAGTTTTTATATTTCCACATACCCTGCTGCTACTGGGAACTGGAACGAGAACATAGCCAAGTCCAGTCAAGTTGAGCTGCTTAGGGCAAAATTGAATTCAGCAGAAGTGTAGTCTCTCCATGTATATCTGCACCCATGATCCATATACTAATCGAGTATATCTCTCCAAGTCCAATTCCTACAGATAGCACAAGAATCCATATTGATCGATACCTGCTAAGCTTTCTATACTCTCTCCTACCTCATGGCATTTGGTGAAGCCGTGATGAATATGGAGATAATGTTGGTGATTTTTACTTGCGATAGAATAAACGAGAACTTAACTGCTTTGATAGCGAATATCAAATTGAAACCAAGATCTAGATTGTGTACTTAGTTGAACTTAAACTGGTACAGAGAGAAGTCAGCATAACAAAGACTATACCTAGATAATTAGATTAGAGCATTCATAAATGCGGTGCAGAGCAGAGGGCATCCAAAGGTCTGCCCCGTGTGCAGCTAGGGCATTGGTAACTTCCTTTTTATTTGCAGAGACGTCCGATGCTTCGGCATACGGCAATTCGCGTTTGGCCGTTAAGGACATTAGTGCGTTTCGCTTTCATTGTGCAGTTCAGGTGAAGCTGATGCCGAAGTCGCCGAGTTGTTCTGGACCCTGGGGGACGGCTCGTAAAGCGCAGCACGCAGCGCGCCTAAGCGAAATTTCATTGGTTTTTATGGTAACGATGCTGCGTTGACTACCCCAAGCCTAAGCCCCCAACCCCAATCAAGAAATAAACCAGCCTAACCATTCAATCTACAAACACTCCTTCCGTATATTTTTTGAATCTGTACTCGCACTGGCATTTCTCTTTCTCGAGGTGTCAAATCGGTTAGACTAGATCTTCACTCTGATTTCTTGTTTCTAGTTATGTAGCTTCATCATAGCTAAACACGGGCAGGGTTCCCCTTCGTGTCTTGGTAAAGTTGCTAAATTGTCTTGCTCCATTGGCTTTCATCGAACCTAGATTCATACCAGTTATTGACCGGGATACGTTCTTGGCTTGGAATCTCGATTCCTTTTAATTCAAATGCTCTCCATTATCCTCTATCTTTCCGTAGAGATTCCTTGGTTTCTCATTAATTTTCTTTAAATCACATCAAGGTTAAAAGAGTTCTCGCTTTAGTATACTTCCTTTAAAATACCTTCTTGCTTGCCCCTCTGCTGTTTCTTCTCATGGTCCAGTACTCACTAATCTGGTTCCCGAACTTTCCCTTCGCTGTTTGGTTGCGTTTTCCGATCTGCCAGCGACGCAGTTGAACCTAGAGCCGTCTTCGTCCCGCAATTCCCGTTCGCATTTCCCTTTTCTGGAGCTGCTTTCACTTTTCGCGCCCGGCCAAGAAGCCGTCTCGGGGTGGCATTGCTCAAGTGCTTGCCCCAGCAGCAGCGCGCTGCCACTTCAGCTGGAGCTGCAGCCGCAGCCTCTGCACATGCAGCTTCAGCCTTCGCCGTGGCTTGGAGTCATCTTTGCACCTTCCACGCTGCAGTCGACATTGGCATTGGCACTGTCTGCAGCGGGACTTGCAACCCCTGTTAAACGGATGCAAGCAACTCGAGCAACGGTTGCACCACCGACGCACCACCAACCACTTAAACTTTTGAATAGTGGAAAAAGTGCACTCAAGCAGGGTCTCTGCTTGGATTCATGTGCCAGCCACCCCCATGTTTCACTTTCATTTTGGCGAGGCCAGGCGAGTCAGTTGGGGAGATGCATGGGGGAAGGGGGCGACGGATGGGGAGT